ATTAAAAATGCAACAGCCCACAAACACCCAGGGATCGTAGCCCCGCTTCCGCGGTCGTGGGAAATGCACCCAATGAAAGAAATGTGTTTGTGCGTTGGCAAAACACTACGTGGTGACACTCGATGACCTTTCGCCCTCTGCTTTTACTACCACAATAAGTGACCTCTGGCTACTCACAGAAATCACACTTTGATGAAGACAGATGTAAATCTTCATAATTCACCGATGGTAGCGTTGTTGCATGATGGCCTCCCTCTCAACCCGGCAAACCGCCTTTTGACGTTGGTTTTCGGCAGCCTTTCTCTAGTCACAAGCATAAAAAGTAAGAGCTAACAGCATAGATAGCCGAAAGATCTGTTACCGGCGATCGTTGCTTTTTCTATCGACCAAGCACGGAGCCCCTAGCCACGAGAACATCTGCACCGCAAGCTTCCAGTAATACAGTTCCGTTCGTATGAAGGGCCCCGAAAGTTAGAGCTTGGCTCAGTGCCAGGAACCCTTTTGCTTTCCAAGCTATTCATTCAAAAGCAAAAGATTCGTGGTCAATGTCCACAACTTTCCCGAAGCCAAGCAAACAGCATGCAGATTGAAAGATTTGTCTTTCACCTGATCAAAAGCTCAGACCTTGGCGCGACGAGAAGCTCAGCCAAGTCAACAGGCAATAGAATTAAAGATTGGGTCTTCTCCATACCAAGAAGCTCTTGTGGAACATGTCTTGGGCTTCGGGGTAAGTTGGGCCAGGTCCACATGTCTCAGTTACCGGTCAGCCAGTCCCAGTATTCGATGATCGATTGAGTTTATTTGGGCCACAACGGGTAATCCGAGTGGCATACAGGTCGCAAATTATCAGAAGTTGAGCAGTCAAGTTGCCAATGCTTGGTAGCTCCGAGGCATGTAGTCAATCTCAACACCGCCAATCAAGCTCACCAAGGACTTAGCGGAGGTCAAGATAAGCTTGCCCTTAGCAAACCACAACTCTGGCCATCTGGCCATATCTGGTTCAATCCCACGTGCTCGATACCCGGGGTAAGCGAAAAACACCCAAAACCTCACAGCCACCATCAAAAACTTGCTCTTAGGACGATTGAAGAATTGACGTCAAGTGCAATGTTTGGTCGGCAGACTGTGACGCACGCCCAGACTAGCGCCAAGTCATCCTTGTCGTGGGAGGATCGCCCATTTAAGCTTAATCGAGACGGCTTACCAGGGTCTTTGCGCCGATGATCGTTCTTGGGGGAGACATAACGGGCTTGGCAGACGATTTAACGTCGGCGGCTTGGAGCAGGTTTGCGTGAGGCTCTTTCGGCTTTGATTTTGAGTTTGCGGAGGATAATTGCTGATTGACTTTGAACAGAACTCAATCGAGAATTCTCCGCCCCCGACCAAGGTAACAATACGGACGAGAGCACCCCTGCTTGTAAAAGAACGACAGGATTGATATATCGAAGCGGTCTTTAATGGAGAAACCACAAGTGAAAATACGCATGCCGTCAGATTGTAACTTCAAACCTCGTTACATCCAACGCGTCATCACCACACAGTCCCCCCTTGAAGGATTCGTGAGGCAGCAGCAAAGAGACATTTCACTTCATCTCACCTCTTGGACAACGTCATAAAATATGCTGCCGAGACAGGGATGCACCGAGGTCTGAGCCGCACACAGCCAAAGAACCCGACGATCATCTTGGCAGCCTCCACTCCTCCATCCTCGAACTTCTTTGAACGTTTGCTCATCGTGTGGAGTAAGTCTCCTCGAATCCTTTCCAAAAAGCCATATAATAATTGGGCCGTCCCCAGCTTCTGCAACTCTGTTGCATTCAAAGTATTACCTCGACAGAATCCGGGGCCCCAACTTCTCCCCAGACTCAGTTGCCAGTGACATTATCATCCTCTGAGTGGCCTGCTTCTTATCTGCTGTCTTTCTTCTTTGAGATAAGCACGATGCCTCTGCCAAGAGCTGACAGCGAGGCGCCGCCCGTCTACGACACGGGTCATACTGGCCCCAACGACAGCCATCGCAACTCCAGCAGCAATGGTACTTTCGTCAACGATAATGATGGCGCCGGCTTTGGCCAGCGACGAGTCTCCAAGGCAACTCTTCTTCGCAATCCTTTGGCTGGCATGACTCGAGAAGAGGTCCTCGCTGATGTAGATGCTTTTGTCGAGTCTAAGGGCCTCACCGAGCACCGCGAGGATTTCCGAAAGGGAGCTCTCGTTGCTCAAGTCAACAACACCCCTGGGGGTTTTGAGAAAATCGAGATGCTTTCCGAAGACGAGAAGGCAATCCTGAGAAAGGAAGAGACGTCTCGATGGCATCAGCCTTTTGCATTGTACTTCCTTTGTACTCTTTGCGCCGGATCGGCCATTGTCCAGGGCATGGATCAGACCACCGTGAATGGTGCGCAAGTATGCTGAACCCATCTTGAGATCTCTGCAACTTTCTAACGATTATAGGAATTCTACTTTAAAGAATTCGGAATAGAGAGCGTATGGATGAAAGGGTTGACCAACGGTGCACCTTACCTTTGCTCTGCCGTTGTCGGTTGTTGGACCAGTCCGATTCTCAACAAGTACACTGGCCGCCGCGGAACCATTTTCATCTCTTGCGCTATCTCTACGCTCACTGGATTCTGGATGTCTATCACTACCTCGTAAGTTTTCGATTACTGTCTCAAGACTTGAGATCTTACTGACACTTGCTAGTCTCTGGAATTTCTTGTTTGCTCGTTTCATGCTTGGTTTCGCTGTTGGCGCAAAGTCCAGCACAACGCCCGTTTACTCTGCCGAATCTACACCGAAGAACATTCGTGGAGCCCTAACTATGATGTGGCAGGTGAGAAACCCTCAGTAGTGGTGGAAGTTCATAAGCTGATTAACCTTCTAGATGTGGACTGCTTTCGGTATCGCCCTCGGCTTTATCGTATGCGTTGCCTTCCAAAACGTCACTATAATCGGCGGTCCGAACTCTCCGTGGCGATGGATGATGGCTTCGACTTCTGTTCCCCCGTTGGTGGTCATGCTGCAAGTGTATTTCTGTCCTGAGTCTCCCCGCTGGTACATGGAACGCGGTCGATTTGACAAGGCCTTCCGATCCGTCAGGAAGCTTCGCTTCTCGCCTGTCCAAGCTACTCGCGATATGTACTATGCTTACAAATTACTCGAGATTGAGCGTGGGGAACGGGAAGGCCGAAATCTTCTCAAGGAGTTTTTCACTGTACGCCGCAACAGACGTGCTGCTCAAAGTGCCTGGTTCTGCATGGTAAGCTATCCAGCCCCAGCATGCGTCACAATTACTAACACATTACATAAGTTCATGCAGCAATTCTGTGGTGTAAATGTGATCGCATATTACTCTACTTCAATTTTCACCGATGCAAACTACAGTCTTTCTGAGGCCCTCCTCGTCTCTATGGGTGGCGGCATCATAAACTTCCTCTTCGCTATCCCTGCAATCTACACCATTGATACGTTTGGACGCAGAAACCTTCTTCTGGTTACCTTCCCTCTCATGGCAGCGTGCCTCTTCTTCACTGGTGGAGTGTTCCAACTTCCCGACGAACCTCGTGACCCCAAGATCGCCACTATCACTCTGGGTCTTTATCTCTTCATGGCAGTCTATTCTCCCGGACTTGGACCAGTGCCTTTTACCTACAGCGCTGAAGCTTTCCCTCTCCATATCAGAGACATCGGTATGGCTTCCAGTACAGCTATCACCTGGGGCTTCAACTTCATCATCAGCCTCACCTGGCCAGCTCTACGAGACGCCTTCTCTAACACTGGTGCCTTCGGCTGGTATGGTGCTTGGAATATATTCGGTTGGATCTTCTGCTACTTCCTACTACCTGAGACCAAGAACTTGACCCTTGAGGAGCTTGACAATGTCTTCGGTGTTTCCAACAGAGAGCATGCTTCATACTACTGGAGGAAGCTGCCATGGTACCTCAAGAAGTATATTTTGCGCAAGGATGTTCCTCCTTTCCCTCCACTGTATGAGTTTGCTGCCAATGACGGAAATTATCCACACGAGAAGCCTGATACTAGCCATATCGAGGGCAATAACACTGTCGGTGGCACTCAGGATAAGGAGCTTTTCCCCGGACCCCGATAAGTCACCCTATCATAAGGCATCTGGATGAGGAGGAATGATATTTTGAATGAATACTATCTATTGGCTATGATCTCTGTGTCCGGCGTTTAATTACTACCGAATAGCTTGTTGGCTTGAATGTATAGTAGGAGTTATAAGTAGTTCCGTAGGAGAATAAGTAGGATATAATGACCATAGCTGAATCAGACAAAAGCATACTCGTGATACTGTGGCGATACTTTCTTACATATCGTCGACATTAAACTTCACATAATACACCCCTTGACTATTTGCGAGGGCATGATAATATGGCAGGGCACCTTCATTGGATGCGTGCAATCATTACTATCTTATGAAAGTTATTATAAAAACATATATAGGTATATAAGAGCCTACTATATTTATATCTCTTTCATCTTGAAGTCTATTTCATTATTCGTTGAGCTTACTTAGTTGCCCTCCGGGTCGAGTCAACAGGTTGCTACCTTGTCTTATTCCGTATTTAAAATCCTGTACTTGTGTAAACATGCATAGTCAGGTGCTGTGTTATAATTGTTTCACTTATCAATACTTAGCCACCACATACATCATAGGCTTGATTGTGCAGGTGAAGCGGTATTCGGCACCCAATGGCGGGTTTAATATCACAGCCTGATCTGTGTCGAAGGTACGTGATTGGTTTGGAGGACTGCATAAATCCACCTTGCCAGCCACTCCGAGACCGTCAGCGTTTAGCTGGGCTTGTCCTCTGGCAAATTGGACAACGACCCAGAACAGCTGAACTGCAGGGAGATAAAAATAGCATGAGAATAAGGAGTAATGTCCTTTCAGTATTAAATCAGGCTCTCGCACTTTTGGCCACGCTTTTCGATTTCCCATTTCTCATCGCGTTGACCTGTAGCCAAAATCTGCAATGTCTGCTCCAACGAACCCGTTGCTACTGAATTGCGATGCTGAGCCGGAATTAGCTGAGAGACCTTCGTTGCAGGAAGCCTCAAGCCGGCGAGGAATATTCGGATACAAGCTATCAAACGATTCTTCAGTGATTAGGGCATTCAAAGACGCTTTCTATGATTTGAGGCGTATTGGTAAGAAGAGCAAGGATAGTCGCCCACTTGATTGGTGTTTCATCCGGCGAGTCCTCTGGGCCAGCTGCTGGAACCTGTCTATTCTGGGCTTATTGATTTATTTATGTCTGGTACCGCTGGATTTCAGCGATGAAGAAAACAGTTGTCAGCCTGATGGAGAGTTTCGATTCGATGGTATAGATCAACTTGGTGGCTTTGATTGGTGGGCGCCTAGGGGATTCTTTCAAATCACGCTTGGCTGGGGTCGGTTTAGTTTTGGCACTGCGAAGCTCGTTGATGTTATTTGGGACTTGGTAAGTGCCCACGTCGAAATTTGTTATCAAGCCGCTAAAGTAACAGGTTGTTGGTCGAGGGGGCCAAACAGTCATGGCTCTTGTATCATGGGAAGTGTTTGTCCAATATCTCCAACTCTCTCTCGTTATGAAGCCGGCATCTTACAGCACAGTGTGGCTTATCAAGATGCAAAAAAATAACTCAGCTCTTGCAACTTGGGAACTTGCTTCGGGGTTCTTCAAGGTTGGCCTCGCATCCAAAAAGGTCATGTGCTTCATTATCTGGACAGCATCATTCATTCTTGCTTTTCCGACCTTCGCCAGTTCAATGACTGGATATACGCCGTACAACAAGGCTTATTTTAACAGCACCAGCGGAAGGCTAGTGCAGTTTTCGGAAATCAAACCCGTCGCTTACTTGATAAAAGATGGGAATAGAGTCGATGGCCTGAGCAAGGACTATCCCGTATTATGGATAGGCAGTAAGATCCTTGAACAGGCAACAAACGCAAAGTACAAGGCTGATTAGCTTATTAGACTCGGAGACTATTGTCAAATCTTCTTCTATTGAGATATTTGACCAGTGTAGTGAGTGGGATGTTAATGACACGAAAGTTGAGTGCCAGCTACAGAGAGATGTATCTGAGTGTATGTAGTCTCAGCTCTGGCTGGCCATTCGAATATTGACTTTCCGCTAGATGCTCAACTCTACGGTTTCGACGGAAAAGGCGGTCGTGAAACTCGAAACGGCCAGAAAACTTATTTTCGTAACCAGACACTGAACTGGCCACCCCTCAACATCAAAGCCTTCTATCTCCCCAACAGTTTTTACTGGAACTGGACGGCTTACCTTCCTGATGTGGCATCTTCAACACCTCTTAGACCATATGGAGACAATTCAGCCTCGGCATTCATTGTTGAGGATGAGATATACAATTTGAAAGATGTCCAAGCTGGAGGAGTCTGTCAACCAATAAAGAGCGGAGTATGTTTATACTGACAGTGATCAGAACAAATGCTAACATTCATAGGAATCTATCAAATATCAATGGGGGTTTTCCTTTCTCCAGTTGTTCGTCATGACTATCCTTCTTCAGTTGTGGAGCGTCAGTCTTTTTGTGTTGTGGGCAACCACAAAATTAACGCTGAAACGAAACGACATCGGGGCATCATCTGAAGGCTGGAAGGGCCTCCTCGAATTAACGGATAACATCAAAGAACAAATAGAGTCTGCTGGTATCACTTGGGAGGATCTCACCGACAAAGAGCTACACGGAGAAATTCAGCATCTTCTCACAGGGGGGCCAGTCCCTACATCTTCGGGAAACCCCTTCCCCCAAGGGCAGTCTAGCCTATGGAAATGGACACAGAGGGTCAAATGGCATCTTCTAACAGTCATGTTCTTTCTTGTTTGCATTTGCCTCGAGAATCTACTTCGTCCTACTGGATTTTACGACTACCTCAGCCTCGGGGGGTCCAGTAACCTCATTTCCGAAGGGAGGCTCTGGATGGCAGTCTTTTTTTACACCACCGCAAGCATTATTATCGCTTGTGCCCTAGGATCAACATATCGGCAGAGGTTACTAGTCCTGTTGGCAGCCGTTGTCTTATGTGTCCCCTTCTTTTTCTACTCTTCTATTGAACGCGATATCGTCTTGCCTGGGCTCTGTGTGGGATCTTTTCTTGCCTTTTCCCTTGGCTCTTCACGGGGAAGCCGCGCTGTCCTGCTTGTTGTCCCTCTTCTTTGTAACTATATCGTTGCTTTTGGCTTGTTCATCTCTCGTCATTAATCCGCCTTACTATTACCATCATGTATAATAATAGAATCAACAGTTTTGGGTAGCCATGGCTTCTCCTTCTACGCGCATTGAGCTAGTATCGAGGCTTTCAAAAATGATTTACCGCTCAGGATATCCTTACTAGCCTCTGATCCTTCAGAAGTTTAAACCTAGCTCATTGCGTTGACAGTGCGGGAATAAGTCCCTGAACGCACCGTTTCTTAACCGTTGAGCTTCTATTGGCTTACTCAACGGTTTATGAAAAGTCAAGTGCGTCATTACCTGCACCTAAATCCAACGCCCAAAAGCTGTCATGGTTGTTCATTGGCTTGTTCGCTGCTTACTCATCCATCCTCACCTCGCATCGAGTTCTAGGCCTAACATCGTGGTATCGTGCTGTCTAGGGAGGCTGGCTAGTGGGACAAGGGTCCATAGTCTGACAAACATAGAGGTTCTGTTAAGAAGTGCATTGAGGCGCAGCATGGGATTTTTATCTTTGCCGTTCCCCTCTCGAAATATTTCCTTGGATGTTTCGAGCCTCAAGCTGAGCTGCAGTCATGATGCCTAGCCTTTTACCAGCTTGTGTTGCGGTTGTCGCGTTTGCGGGCCGTGGGCTGTCTAGCTCCGACTTTATTACACCTGAATTATCGAGCGACCCGTGGTCTGAGAATCAAGTGTACGGAATTAACGACGAATTGGAAATAATATGGAAAACGGACCATCAAGGCTGCAATCTCTTCCTATGGCAGGATTATCCGAAATTGGCGATCGAATGGTACAGCAGATTGTTAGGTAAACGTGACCGATAATTCTCTGATTCCAAGTAGCTGATAAAAGGTAGAAAACACGACTGAAACTTCGCATGTTTGGACCGCAAATTCCAGCGGTTTCTCTCCAGAGTCCGAAGACACTGTCTTTCACTTTGCGCTATACTCTTCGGACAAAGATATCCCGCTCGCAAATTCCGGCTCGTTCAATATCTCAGGGACAAATTCTGAAAAACTCAAAGCAACATCGGCATCAAATTCAACACCAGCTTCTACAGCGTCTCAAGCATCAGAAACCTCGACGAGTTCCACAGAGACGACACACCATTCAGTGACCAAGTCAGAGAACAATCCAGGTTTATCAACAGCAGCATTGGTCGGAATTTCAGTCGGTGTCACAGTAGCGGGGCTTTTGATTTCTGCAGGTGTAGGCTTATGCCTATGGAGACGCTTCACGCGTAGACGAACGACGGAGAGAGTGGATAGCATGGAGAAGTCCGATTTTGAAAAGTCTGAGCTGGGGAATACTCAAATATTGCAGATAGGAAGTTCAGAGCTTGATAGCACGAGAGATGCGGCTGAACTTTGGGATACGCAAAAGCCTGGAGAGCTTGGGGATGAGAACAAGATACGGACGATATATGGACTGCATGAGGCACCATAGGCACAAAAGGTTGAAACAAAATTCAATGAATTCGAAAATCTGTTATCTATGGCATCTCTAACTCCTGGGTATTCATATGCTCATCCATTAGGCTGTGCTGGTTATGGCTGTTTGACTGGTACTAAGGGATCAACGAAAAGTAAAAAAAGAACTAGTAGGCATCTTTTCGATCTCTACCTACCAAGTCGTTGCACCAATTTACAGCTGAATTATCACAAGCCTAGTGGGTTCTTTGTTAATGCTTATTATTAGGCACGATATATCATCCCCTCACATACCAATAAATCAAATCGTCTGCACAAACCATCGCCACCAATATTCTACCACATATGTATTTCATTAAACACAGAAATACCTCTAAGATGTCTCGCATATGGAAATTCTTAGTTGTGGCGTCCCATGGTCCGCATGGTCTATCAGCCAATATCTCTCGGCGGTAAATGCACCGAATTCCCTCCACTTTCCCGACCAGGCGTACACAGATCGAGCCCCCAGGCTTTTCCTCCTCCACGGATCCGAAAAACATCCCAGCTAATGCGGGGAGACCTATCAATTGTCCGGGGCCCCAGATGCACCATGAGCTTAAATGGTATCGTGTCGGTTGAACCATGGCACTGGGCCAGACGATTCAACATGATGCTATCCCTATAAGTAGCCCCTGACACCAGGCTTGATCGTGGATGTTTACACTCAACATCATTGAGCATCTCAAGAATGTCGAACATTGAACGAACTACGAGCAGGGCCGACTCCATTGGAGTTGACCACAAGGAGACTATCCTGGCTGTTGAGGTTGCGGAGGAGAGCAACACAACTGTTTGGAAACTCCTGCGAGAGAATGTTCGTGTGATTATCTTCACCTGGTTCGCCAATTGCGGCGCGTTCCTCTTTGGATACGATGTTCTCGTTCAAGGAGCTATCAATGCTCTCCCTATGTTCTCGTGAGTCGAAAACCTCCCTACCGTCTCTAATACAAATAGCTGACCAGGGAGAATCACTTTTGGCTCTCCCTTTGGCGAGACTTTCATCCTTCCAGCCCTGTGGCAAGGTCTCTGGCAAGCCTTCAGCGCAATGGGAATCATGGCTGGTGCAGCCAGCAACGGCTTCCTTCAGGATCGATTCGGTCGAAAGATTATGTTTGGAGTTGGAGGTCTCATCTCTGCCGTGGGTAAGTAGAGACACCAGAGCTCGAATCTTTCCTGTCTAACTTGGACCTTTCTAGGAACCGCTATCACTTTTGTGTCTGGCAATCCCGAGACTTTCGAACAAAGACGCGGCGTCCTCTTGGTTGGAAAGTTCTTCATTGGTCTGGCCATGGGCATTAGCATGTCGACTTGCCAAACATACGTATCTGAGATTTCACCACCCAAGCTTCGAACTATACTTCTCGGGTTTTATCCCTTCATGATTGTGAGTACTACTATCTACCAAATACTGACGACTCTAACACAAAGTTCCTAGACTGTTGGCCAAATGATTGCCATTACCGTCGTTTTCAAGGAGGTCGCTACAATGACACACTGGGCTTTCAAGATCCCCTTCGCCTCACAGTGGGCTTTCTCCGCCTACTCAGTCATCGCAGCCCTAGTCGTCCCCGAAAGCCCTGTATACCTCGCCAGTAAGCACAAGATCGACCAAGCCAGAAAAGCGTTGACGACACTCGGTTGCGAAAACATCGACGAACGAATTGCCATCATCGAAGCTACAATCCAGCAAGAGCAGAGAATGAACACGGAACAGCCTTCGTTCTCGGAGTGCTTCAAGGGCACCAATTTGCGCCGAACTCGTATTGTTGCTCTTCTCAACACCCTTCAACAGTTTATGGGCATAACCTTGGTCTCGAACTCGACCTACTTCTTCATCATGGCTGGCATGACCCCAACTTTTTCTCTCACTCTCAACCAAATCGGCGTTGGTTTGAGCATGGCATGCACCCTTGTCTCTTGGGTTATCATGTCCAAGGTTGGCCGAAGATTTGCTATCCTAGCAAGCTTTGCTGTTGCTGGAGCCATTTTTATTGGTATGGGCGTTGCTGGTTTCTGGCCGCATAACCAAACAGCACTGAGGTGAGTTCCACAACCTGATTTACCACCATTCAATCCTAACAACATCTATAGATTCATCGGTGTATCTCTTCTTCTGGCCGCTTGCACTGGTAACTTGGGCACAGGGTCAGCATATCCTATCGTGGCTGCCGAAGTCCCTTCAACCGTCCTTCGAGCCAAGACCCTTGGTATCGGTTTCTTCGTCAATGCCTTCATGACCTGGGCTTTTGCTCTCTGTGTTCCGTACATGTTCAATGCTGATCAGGGTAACCTGGGAGGCAAGATTGGCTTCGTCTTCTTTGGCTTCTGTGTTATTGGGTTCATCCTTACCTGGATCGAGATCCCCGAGACCAAGAATATTACTTATGCCCAGATCGATTATCTCTTCCAGACTAAAACTCCGGCACGAAAATTCAAGGAAAGGTCTACTACTGCTATCAATGAGGAGGCATAATGTTTCAAATTCGACGGTCTTAGCAAGGATAGGAACATGGAACGTTGTTATTGCTGATCGATATTTGTGGCGATTATACTCGGGGCTACTGCCTTGGTACGTATTGATACGGGGTTCGAGATAGCTTGCGTTGATAGCAAAATTCGAATCAAACATACTCTACGGATGAATGCAGTGATGATATTTTTCAAGTGAGCGATGTTCCAATTCTTTGATCATTGTTGAAGAATACTCGCTTGAGGTCGGGTTGGTGTGAGAAGTACTTTACTACTTGTCTATTACCCCGTGACTGTCTAGTCTAGTCTCTTCGAGAGAGTATTAACATGCTCTGGTTTGGATCTGACCACCAACTAGAATGGATTGATCACTACCGCAAGGAGACTTAGATGTAGAGTGAATGTTCGGGTGAGCTAGAAGCTTATTGTCAGGGGAGGCAAGAAAGTTCAGGGCCTTCATTCTAACTCGTAGAAAGATTCTAGGCAAGTTTAGTGAATCTTGGATGACCGTTCAGTTCAACACTATAGGTTGACTTCAGGCATTTTGCTTCCCTGCAAGCTTCTCGTAATGGTATGGGCCATCGTGTTTTGTGTTGGACAAAACCGTTCTAGATTACACTATGCCGAGCCAGCGAAATAGTGAGACCCAAGCATCATCTGCATAGGCTCGTGTGAGACTCACTAACTCATAATGTACCGGACTTTACCCATACTTTCACCCACTAGGAGTCACGGTTGATCATCAGACCATTAGATCCTTCATAGCTCGGATCTGTCAATGCACTTATTCAACTCTAGACCGCTCCAGATCGATCCCAGATTCCAAAACTGGAAATATTTCCACCTGAGGCGTACGTGATGAAGCGAAGTTCAGCCGTAAACCGCACGTAGCGGAACGTCTCCTCATCGGGATGTGGAGGAAGCCAAGTCTAGCCAAGAGCCTCATCGGTTGTTATTGACCCGACATTAACAATTGATCGAAAGCTGGAGCGAGTGATGATATCGTACTATTACAAAAACTCTCGTCTCGTCAAATTAGGTTTGCCTGACTAACTTGCTTGTCAAGGTAGTCTCCTATTCTAGCCA